TTTTGAGCTATAGAACTCCTAGAAATGTCAAAAACTGAAAGAGGAGATGGATTTTTTCTGTAAAAAACTTTCAAAAATGACCATTTTTGAAATTTTTTCTTCCGGAAAACGACCATACATGAATCTATAACCACTAATTAATTTTTTAAGAATCATTTGAATCATCTTGGAACTCCACAAAATCAGATAAAAAATTCTGAAATTATGGTTTTAGACCTGCAATTGTGATCGCGTCAAACTTTTTTCTGTAGATCAAAAATTAATTTGCAGTTCGGAAATGTTCTGTGGGAGAGCGTGAAATGTATAATGTATGTAAAGTATTTATCATACTTGCAAAATCAGGGCCCGGGCCCGTGACTCTTCGGCCCGGCCCGGCGGGCCCGGGTTCCTCAAATTGGAATTTTTTTTTGAAATTTCAGAGAAAATTTCAATTTTTTTGTGAAAAATTTGTCTATGGACACTATTATCTTTCAAAGGTTGTTTACTTGACAGAAAAACCGTCACTGTGAATTTTCTAAAGTAAATGCGCTCTAACGCGAATACTGTAGTTAAGCGCGCTGAGTATCGACGCGCATGCTGAAAAATGAATTACTGAGTCGCTACACAGCGAATTTTGCGACCTAAAGTAAAAAAAGCGCGGAAAATTCTTTTTTAATACGTTCCGGAAAAATCGCTGTGAATCCCATTTTCCATTTTTTTTTATTGACCCCAAATTTTTTTTTCTGAAAATCCGGGCCGAGACGGGCTGGGCCGGGCCCTGAAAATTTTAAAAATAACCCGGCCCGGCCCGTTGCAAGTATAGTATTCACTGGAAATTTTTTGGAGTCTGGAACTTTCAGAGATATATTCCAAAATCAAGAGTTTAGTTCTGAAAACTTGAAGATCGTTTTTTCGAGATTCCTCAAAAGGTTCCGAGTCCAATATTCAAATATATGACAATATAGCTTTGAATGCCCATCTCATTATGAAACAGGGCAACTTTTAGAGACATTCGTACCATAATGCATCCATCATTAATGTTATTCCAATGTTTTCCAATTAAGCTCAAATCAAAAACATCTGTTCCTTCTTATTCTTTATGTCAAAATCCTTCCCGTCCCCCATTCATTTTCCCATTTCTTACAATGTATCTTCTTATTGCCTCCAGGTATTCTTCATATCCACAGATGTTATCTTCCCGGAGGGTCAACTGTTATATTTCTCTCTGTCACTCTCTTACTCCCTAATTATCTCTAGCTTCCTCTCCGTTCGCTTTTCTTCCTTGTTCACACAACTTGTTACTATTTCCTCCTCTTCTTCTGGATTTATATGTCACTTTCTCGTATCTAATTTCTTGTTTCACACTTTCGCTTCAAAAAGAAAACGACTACTGTAGAAGAATAAGTCACACTGAGAATAAGCGGATGGGACAGAAAAACGGTCTATAATTATATTTCTCTCTCTCTCTCTCTCTCTCTCTCTCTCTCTCTCTCTCTTCCTTTTTTTCTGCTTTCATGCAAACCATTTCCTCTTGTTCTTTTCGTCACTTTTCCATTGAACACACATAATTTATCAGTTTCATTGTGTATTCGGGGTGGCCGTAAAACAACCACATCTACCAGAATCCGTCAAGAATTATCGCATGTGTAGGTGTTAATTTCTATTGTTCGTATAGGAAGAGAACACATAGTTTAGAGCATCTCGCATTATTATTAATTTCTAAATAATTAAAATTGGCTCCAGTCGGTAATTTCGGTCCGCAGAAGTTAGTTGGAACTTCTAGGAATAGCAGAAATTCAAAAAAAAAAATCAAAAATCTCATTTTCTAAGCTTTTCTGTTGTATTTTCAATTCCAAGCAGCTCCATTTAAATTCGGATATTTCCAAAATTGTGATTTTTTTTAATTTCTGAGATTCCTGATTTCTTTTTTGGGAACATCTAAGTTAAATAAAATTATCACATTTTTCGATTTTTTTTTGGATTTTTGATACTCTTTTAAAACTTTCAAGGGGTCAAAAATTCTAACGACCAAAGAAAAATCAAAGGACCGAAAAAAAAATTATAGGGACCAGCACAACCGACTAGAGCATTAAAATTAACTCAGCCTAAGACACTGATTTAAATTAGATCGGAATTTTTCAAAATTTCCGTTTTCATGTTGTAAAAATTTAGAATTTTCTTTTCAAACCCTGAACCTTATCCGATTTCTCTAAATTTCTATTCACTAGGTTTTGGTTCCCTTCCAAATTACTGATTCCTGATTGTGACTCATCCCGTTTTCATAGTTTTTTTTTTCCTGATTGTGACTCATCCCGTTTTCGGATTTCCAAAAGGATTTGAGCATCTTCCAAAGATAGTTTAAAGTATATTGTCAATTTCTGAAGTTTAATTATTTTTTATTTCTCACATGACACTTTTATTTCCAATCACCAATTGGTCCTCAAGTACATTTTCTCTCATTTCCTCCTTTCCGTTGTTTCTTCTTCTTCTCTTCTTCATATTCCTTTTCGTCCTCCTGCTTTTACCGAGAACGTCTTTCAAAAAACTCTACGTCTCTCTATCTCCTCTTATCACTCTTATCTCTCAAATTGTTTCGGCGGTCCTTCTTCTTCTTTAACTCCTTCCATCCCCCGTCGTTTTCTCTGTTCCTTATAAGAAAACAGAGAAACACAGTTTTTATGAATCGGCAATAAAAAAGCCAAGCCCTGTTTTCTTTCTATTGTTTGAAAAAAAAAACAAAAGAAAACGGTTTTTTTTTCTAAAAAAACTGATTAGTTTTTTGTTAGTTTTTTTCTTCCTCTCCGGTTTCCGATTTTCCTATTTTTCAACCGTTTTCTTATCATTTATTTCTTCTAAACGAATTTATTTTTTTTTTGTCGATCTCCTTTTTTAGAGTACCGTTGCATCAGTTTTCCGTCTCTTTTTTTTCGGTTATTCGATTGAGAAAGTGGCCATTTGATTAGAAGAAGAAGTGGTTCGGTGGACAGTCCATTTTTAATTTGAACCCAAGAACATTCTTGAATTCTCTTGTTAGACGAAGTTCGTCGAATCAATGTTTTATTCTGAATTTTAGTTTCACATTTATCTTGTAACTACGATTACGATATCTTGATACGGTAACTTCAAAAAGAAGATACCGTAGACACTGTAATAGAAGGAAATCTTAAACTATGAGCCAATATATCTATGCTCCTGTCAAACCTTGCACAAGAGCCAAGATAAACTGGCTCAAACTTGTTAGTGTGGGGGACCTTCTATTACAGGTTTTATAGTAAATCATTTGGTTTTGAAATTGTCGGGTTTATTCAATACCACATATCGTACTTGCTCTAATAAAAGCTGGCTCTAATAAAAAAAGTTGAGCTCATATGAAAAGTCTGTTAACTGATAAAATATTGATTATTTTATGATAAATAATTTATTAGTTGAACAGTTTTTAAAGAAACCGAGATAATTGAGCTTATGGTGCACCAAAAGAGGTTTCCATTCGATCAAATATGACACCTATTTCCGTTAGTCAAACTTATTTTTCAAATCGTAACAAATCTAAGAAAACTACAGCAGTCCACCTGGTCAGTTAGGTACTTCTTCCCTTCATCTTTGTCTTCTTTCCTCAATAAAAAAAGTAAAAGTGGCTCGTAAATCTTTCGTCATAGAATAGTGAAGCGGAGTGAGAGTGAAACGGCTCTCGTGGACGCATAGGAACCAATTGAACACTAAATTGCGGTCAGAAAATGGAGGTTATAAAAGAGAACGAAAAGCTATATATTGCCATCTCTCGTAGTGTTCCAAAGAACTTGTATAAACCATCGTAACTTTTCAAACACTCCACCACCATCTTTCATATTTTATTTTCCCACACCTCCTCTCCCTCTTTTTCGTTCCGTTTCAGTCAAATTTTTTTCTGAAATTCTCATTTTTCTCCATTTTCAGAACCACATCCATGACAGAAAATAAGGAATCATGAACGATTGTAAACGATTTGAAGCGAATATTTTCAACAATGGAAAATGCAAAATTTGCTATAAATCCAAACAGAATCACTCGTCGGAATCCATCGAGAATGCCAAGGTAATTTATCTGAAAATATATTGCTTTGAAAATCTGAAAAAATACTTTAAAGAGAAAATCTACTATTTATGATCAAATTCATTAGAGAGATAGTGGCAAGATCAAAGGGATGGGGGCAAGTCAGAAACGGGTAATCGAGATCTCAAGAAGTTTTTGGAATTGTATTTAGAAATTCTTGATTTCTCAATAGTCTTTTTTGAAATAGCGCGCTTAAGAATCTTCGTTTTCATTTTTTTCTAAATTGCATTAGTACTAGTAAACCTCTAATAGAAGGGCTCTTAACTTTTAACTTTGAGCCAACTTTTTTCGGTTCCGGTCCAAGAAATGAAAAAGTTATCAACTGACAAAATGTTTATTAAAATATCAAAAATGTTTTTTTCAGTTGGCCACTTTTTGATATTTTTCACAAAAACCGGGATAAATTAGCTGAGACTTGACAGTATGGGGCAGGGATGTTCGGAATGGCCTTCTCGGAATTTTTCGGAATGTCGGAAATTCGGAATTTTCTGATTTCGAAAAATATGGTATTTCGGAACTTCGGAAGTTTCGGAATTTTTCGAAATTCGAAGCGGAATTTTCATTTATCCATCCCAAAAACGTCAAAATCTTTAGATAATTGACAGAAATATTTAGACAATGCAAACAAATCTCGAAAATTAATTCTGTTCAAGATCTGGAAGCAAATTTTTATTGGCATACCGTAGTTAAAAAATTTCTAATTCCGAAAAATGCTTCGGAGAAATTCCGGTCGGAATTTCATTCCGAAAAATATCTTTCTGAAATATTCCGACCGGAATTTCATTCCGGATTTTTTTTCGGAAGTATTCCGGTCGGAATTTCATTCCGAACATCCCTGGTATGGGGCTCTTCTATTACAGGTCTTACGATTTATTTTCTACCCTCCCAATTCCGCCCTCTCCTATTTGTTTACTTATTTTCCTCTCCCATTTAGAATACTGTTTTTATAGGTCATGTATACATTTCTATATTGTTTGTTGATCTGTTGAAGCAAATCAGTTCTACCAGAAATAAAAAGTATGAAAACTGAGGGCGCACACTTTTTCTTATTCTCTAATTCTCTCATTTTTCATTTATCTCTCGTTCTAACTTTTTTATATTGATAACAGAACAATTTTGCATTGAAGGACAAAGGAAAGAAGATATCAGTTACCAATTGCTTCTTCATTTTCTGTTTTTTTTTCCTTCTAGAGCCAAAACTTGACATTTTTTTAAATTTTACTTCAAAATTTTGGGGCAAGGAATGGTTACCATGTGAGGAAAATTCTCAATGAAAATGTTGTGATGCTCCTCTTGTTGTACAAAATTTCTAAGAAAAAATTTCAAATTTTCATCGATAAAAAACCGGAAACCAATGCAAAACTATGAATAATCGAAATGGCGCCCGAATGGTGCAAATTTTATGGCTAGACTAGCATTTGATTTTCGTTTTTTATTATTTTCGAAAATTCACTATTTTGAAACTTTCACAAATTTCAATTTGCCTTCGGATTTTTTTCAAAAAAAAGTATTCTTCTCAAAACTTTTTTTTGGTACCAATTCTTGCAAATCGTTCGAATTGATAGAATGAAGCGAAATCTTAATAGAATGATGCACAATCCGTCAACTTTGAGCCCACATATCTCGGCTCCTGGGAAAGAAATTAACAAAATCTTTATCATGATAACTGAAATATTTTTTCAGTTGTTACTTTTTGATATCTTGTACAGGAACCGAGATGTGTTGGCTCAAAGTTGGGTGGCATTGTATTAAAGTTTGTACGGTACTCGTAGAAAAATTGAGACGGTTCGAATACTATTTTGAAAAGTTGAACATGAAAGATACATGTTTCTGCTGAATACTGTTTTTAAAATGGTTCCAATGATTGAAAACAAGTTTCAAGCTCAACTTTCTCAAAAAGCCATGAACGGATACCTCTAAACATCTTGTAGTTCGTATGGTTTAGTTCCACCAATCGGTTCCACTTGACTATCTCTTCTTCTTCCTCCTCTTTTTTTTCCAATTCGTTTTGCATCAATTCCTCTTCGATCCTCTTCGATCGGATCCCACCTATTCGGCCCATTTCATTCCTTCGTATCTTTCTTTTCTGTGTTATACCGAAAATAAAATGAACAAAAAAGAAGACGTTCCTTTTCTCCGAGCAATTATACTTTTATTTCACTATCTAGTCTCTCTCCATCTTCAATACTATTTCCATTCATAAAACTGCGCACTTTTTGGGATGGACATTCAGCCAGAAAGCATTGATTCTCTCCTTTTCCTTCTTCTTCTTCCATTTCCTCTTCTCCTTTTTCATCCACCCTTGTTTATTTATTCAGCAGTCATACTCTTTTCTCTCTTTACTCTTTCGCTTCTTCTTCTTTTTCTTTTCAGAATACACCACTTGTACATCTTCTTATTCTTCTCATTTTACTTCTTGAATAGTATGACCCCCCCTCCGGATAAATTAGCTCAAATTCAAGAACACTTCAAAAATCCCACTAGTCGTTTTTTTAGAATGCCTCTCGCGTTCTTGGCATTTTTTGAGAGGATTTTTGTCATCGGGAAACTGAAATCTTCAAGTTTTTTCTTTAAAAGTTTCAATTTGCTGAAATTTTCGAAAAACGTTCTTCTTGCTTTTAAAAAAAATTCCATTTTTCTACTTTTCAAAACTCAGAATTCAATTTTATTTTCAAAATTTCAATTTTATTTCATAATTAATTTCTCTATATTTTGTCTGATTTCAAGATTTCCAGATTCCAGAATTTATTATTTCCTCCCAAAGTCTAATGTCCCCAAATGTCAGGTTATTTTAATCCAGCATTCCAAAAATCTACAGGTTTTGGGTTCTTGGAATTTTGAAGTTTTGAAATATTTACTATAATAAATTTCAGATGTTAAAAATTTGGGAGAAAATCTACGATTCAGAAAATTCTCCCATTTCTGCTTGACTACTCGTTGTATTCCAAGTCCAGGGTTGGTAACCCTTCATGTGGAATTAACTTCGGTCAACTATACTACTGCCAAAAACTCTTTTTCGATTCATAAAACGTCCCCATCATTTCCACTCTAATCCCGTCGTCGTCCACTTCTTTCATTTTGTTATGATTCTGATGTCCTTTTTCTTCTCCTTCATCTTCCTCCTTCATCTCAAATCACGCTTCTTCTTCTTCCCACGTCTTCTTCTTCTTCTTCTTATCATTATCATTTGATTACACTCTCCCGCTAGAATCCAATAGAAGATTCTGGTCAAGTCCATTTCGAACGCGCATCTTCTACTTTCTCGGATATCGTTTCATTCGTTCACTTTCTTCCATTTGGAATGACCTGCTTTTTCACTTCATCCTCCCTCTACTTTTCTCTTGTTTTCGACGTTCAGAACCGCCCAATTTTTCTCTATTCTCTCTGTGTTTTCCATCGCTGTCTAGATGTAGGTAATGAATGACAAAAGAAGTGACGAAAATAGAGAAGAACACGACGGACGGACACCTCTTACTTCCTATTTTCTGCAAAATTACTAGCTACAACTTTGTTTTTTTCTATTTTTAAATCTGAATGTTCTAGTGTCTTTTTGTTCTGAACCGATTCGACTTGAACCTGAAAACTTGTCCGAAAGATTGAAATAATTTCAATATAGACCGTACTATATGGTTCCCTGTTTTACAAATACTGCTTTAAAAGTCGTTCGGAAACATTTTAGTTTTTGATTTGTATTTTTCGATCGGTGATGTTGCTACTTTCATATAGCCAATGCACATTTTTTGAACTGAAAATGTCGAAATTTGGTGAAAAAAAAATTTATTAAAATCGACCCAAAAATTGAAATTTGGCACTGAGAATCATCTGGAACAAGAATTATCCTTTTTAATAGATTTTTTCAAATTTTTAGACTTCCTGTTTCAGAATGAATTTTTCAAACTCTGTATATCAAAACCAGGCAAAGCTTCGGAAATCTTGATTCAATAATTTTTTTGTAGACAACGAAAAAATCCTTGTTTCTGAGTCTAGTCTGTCTGTGTACTGTACCGGAAGAATTGACCATCTCTTCCTCCCTTTTCCTGTTTTTTTTCTTTTCCAAACGACTGACCACTGTGTTTTCCTTTTGCGGTAAACATGAAAAACCGTCTCTGGGTCTTCTTTTTCCGCTAGAGTCTGAATTTAAATAAAAAACAAAAGAAACTAATCCTATTTTATTCTTTCTTTCTTCTTTCTCTCTCTCTCTCTCTCTCTCTCTCTCTCCTGTACTCTGAATTTCGAATTTCCGTCGTGTGGCCTATCTATCCCATTCAAATGAATAGTGATTCTGTTTCTCTTTTTCCACCACCACCCAAATAAAAATGTTTGTTTGTCTATCACTTTCTTTCTCTGAATTCTTCTTCTTCCACCATGAAAATCCAAGAATTTGTTTGTTTTGACCATAGAAAAAGGGGAGAGAACGACGAAATGAAAAGGTGAGAATGGAAGCGGAAAATATGGAAAATTTACATGCTCGAAATGTTAACTTTATTCAGTTTAGAAGTTACACCATAGTTTTGATTTTTAAAAAAATTTCCCGTTTTTTTGGTGGAAAATTTTATTCCAGTCTTCGAACTTGAATACGACTTTAAGCTTTCTGCAAAGGGTTCCAACTTTTTAAAAATACAATGCATAGGATGCGAATATTTTCAAAAAAATATAGAAGCCACATGAACAATATTTAAATCTAAATTGAAAAGAAAAAAATGTATTCTAAGAGATTGCTGATCTTCTAGTTTTGAGCAAAACCACTGTATTTCCTCAGAAGCCCACCCAAAAGTTGAGCACAATTATCTCGATTCCTGTGAAAGATATTAAAAAATTGTCAACTGATGAATTGTTAATCATAATATCACCAATATTTTATCCGTTAACGAAATTTTGCAATCTTACACAGGAATCGAGATGATTGAGCTCAAAGTAAACGATTCGGGTAGGCTTCTATTAGAGAAAATATAATACAGTAATGCAGTTCAGGGTACTCTGAAACTTAAAAATGAAAATCTTTTTGTTACATTTTAAGCAGATCAAACAAAAACTACCTATACTATTTTTGGCGAACAGATACTGTTTTGTCATTTTACACCTTTTCAGATAATTTCTTTAACCAGAAACCAAGATACCGTATTTGCCTAAAAAGAAGCCCACCCTATACTTGCACTTGAAAATCAATTTTCTCGGTTCCTTCAAAAGATATCGGGAAACTTTCAACTGATATGATATTGGTGACATTATGATTAATAATTTATCAATTGACAGATTTATGCTATCTATCAAAGGATCCGAAGATGGACTTATCTTAGAGGAGATACGGTGATTTAGAAAAAAAAGATTATTGTACAGTTTAGAAAATAGTTTTTTTTTCTCAGAAAACAACTCTCCGAAAAGTATTAAAAGTATTCGTCAATTAATCACCATAAAGTCTCTTCCTAATTCATTCACAATTCCTTTTCCTTTTTTTAGTACCTAAGCTATTCCATCATCATCATCATCATCATCCACATAATAATAATAATCTTTGTACAGAAGCGCCGATTCATATATATCCGTATAATAAAAGTTTTCTCTATATATTCCAATCGCTCTTTTTCTCTTTTCCTCGCTTTTTGATATATAATAAAACGATGAACGAAGAGACCTACACGAACATCAAAACTAGTTCTTCTTCCACTATTTTTCTGTTACGGCTTCTTTTCATCTGTGTGTGGATGATTCCCGAAAACACTTGCGACAACAATTGACCATCCAACACATCCCCAATCCATATATATTCTTTGGATTAGCCAGATTTTCCTACTCTAATTCACTTAATTTTCAGATGAATCGAAAAGTAACGGCATGTGGATTCCTGTATGTCGCTCCTCCAAATCTCGACTTTTCAATGCAGAGCCATTCAGCGAAACGATGGCAGAGGAGATGGTTCACACTTTTTGATTCTGGAGATCTCACCTATGCAATTGATAACAGTGTAGGTTGAACATTTACAAAATGCTTAAATGACTTTTTGAATTTTTAAATTTCTGGATTTCAGACTTTCTGAATTTCAAATTGTCGACACTTCAATTTTCTGAATTTCTGGTTTTTTGAATTTCTGACCTTCTGAATTTCTGAAATTTTTAATTTATATATTTCTGAAATTCTGACTTTTTCTGACTTTTAAAGATTTCTAGATTTTAAGAAAAAAAAGTTGTTTTCATTATATTCATTCACTTCCACGAAAAGTCTAGAATAACATAGTCTCAAATATTCTGAATCCTACAATTTTAATAATATTAAGATGGACACCCTTCCCCAATTGAGCATTGACATGTCCCTCTGCTACCGTGTCTGTGAAGCCCATGCCATCACTGGAAACGCACATTCGATCCTTTTGGCGTTCAATAAAACTCGTGAAGATCAACCATCAATAATCTATATCAAAGCAGACACAACTGAAGAAATTCGATGGTGGCAGAATGGATTGAGCAAGTATGCAAACTCTCAAAACGTCACAATTCGACCACCGAGAAGGGGTATCGATGAATTGCCAATGTTGGTTATAGTAGTTTTAAAATTGAGCCAAAAATGAGATTTTTCAGAGTGAGGATACAATGAAAGACGTGCCATCTTGTGCATCCTCCAGATGCTCTTCCCCTGTCGAACGATTGGAAATCGATCGAATGATTGAGGGAAAAGAATTGAGAGGATCAGTTCGAAGTGTGAAACAAAGAAGTGTTCGAGATGAGAAGAAGGAATCAGAAGATGTGGCAACTCTTCCAGCCACGTCAAACGTTGTCATAAACGTTCCAGTGAATTCTTGTTCTCCATCTCCAAGAGATGAACCAACCAGCACTACAACTTCTCCAACGACTCCAACAACAACTCCTACACAGAAATTGAATATCGATATTTTAAATGTACATACTTTACGAAAAGGATGGTTAATGTTGAGAGGGAAATCAGATAATGATTGGTGTAAACATTGGGTGGTTTTGGCTGGACTTCAGTTGAAATTATATAAGGATGTTTGGGCTGAAGATTCGACTGCACCTCTTCTTACTGTTGATTTGTCCCAATGTGAGAATGTTTATCCATCAGCTAGTGCCAGAAATTATGGAATCGAGATCAAGTGTCGACGTGCTCGATACGTTCTTTCTGCGATGACACCCGGAATTCGAGATTCTTGGGTTTCTGCCCTCCAACAAAACCGTCATCATCCATCTCCAACTTTCACTGAGACATTTTCAAATGATGCCAACAGTTTGGCTGATAGTTCTGATATTCTTGGGCTTCCGGTGGTCAGTTTTCTCAAACATCTCATCTGAAATTAACTATTTTACTTTCAGAAAAAGAAGCACATTGCCTACGTGGCTCCAGAATCACATCATTCGAATTCGATGATGGATGAGCACAGTTCGACGGAGTTAGAAGAGGAAGAACACAATACGAATACAGCCAGAAGACGAAGAAGTCGTCGAGTTGGAAGTAGAACTTCAGAAAGTGCAGATCCACGTGGCAGAGGAAGAGGAGAGAGTCTGTCACCGTCGGTTCGAAGAAGTCCAGTGGCGAGAGTGAAAGAGAGGAGAGGGGATATGAGACAAAGGTGAGTTCTTCCCAAAATTTTCGGTTTGTCTTTTGGAATCTTAAAACTTCGAATTTCCAAAAAAAATCAGGCTTTTTGATTTTAAAACATTTTTTAGAATTCCTGATTTTTTCTAGTTTCCAAACTTTCAATCTCATATTTTCAGGTTCTCATAATCTCAAAATCTCAGAAAAAGCTAATTTTCCGTATCTGAGAATTTTAGATTTTCAGATTCTGAGAAATTCCGAATTCTAATATTCATGGTTATATTTTCTAGTAGTGTAAAAATTTTGCAGACACGCCTCCAATTCATCCGCTGCTTCCCATCAAGAAAAACCAAGCCGAGAAGAACTTCAGGTAATTTTTCTTCTCTTTTTTTTCGAAAATTCCCTGAGCCAGCATTTTTTTCAAAACAAAGAGTATCTTTTAGTCTTTTTCTGAGCTGAATTTTCTCATCTGCAGATGCTCTTTTTTTCTTTCGCTTCGTTTTCACACATGTTTCGCATTCTCATCGTCGCCCGTCGCCGTATTATTCTTCGTTTCCCCTTCTTTCAAATTGTCATCATCCTTATTGTTTCGGGAAAACTTTATATTTCCCATAGGCTCTCGAATTCTCTAAAAATTTATATATTCCTAAAATCAAGTCATGAAAAATGCAAATCTTCATGATGAAGCATTCGATCGTGTCATTCGAAACCTTGAACTCATCGGACAACCATTACAGAGACATATTGGAACTGCAAGCAGAATATCCAGTGACGAGAACCGTTTAAGATCTTTGGAGCAACAGGTACAATAAATCAATTGAGATTTATTTTTAACTTTTTGATTGTCTTATAGGTCGAAAATCTGCGATCTCAATTACATGAGGCAAAGGAAGATTCGACGAGACGAAAGAGAGAAACTGTGAATCAAGAAATTAAAGAATTGAGAATCACTTTGAAATCGTCCGAAGATGAACTTCAAAGATATAGGAAAGAAGTTGACACATTGAGACGACAGATCAGCCAGAATACTCAGACGTATGTTTTAGTTTCAAAAATTAGGATCCTAAGAATCTACCGTATTTACTCTGATAGAAACCGACCCAAACCGTCAACGTTGAGCTCTATTATCTCGGTTCCTGTGAAGGATATCAAAAACCTGTCAACATATAAAACAATTGCGGTTTTATCATAATTAATTTATTAGTTGACAAATTTTTGATATCTTGCAGAGGAATCGAAATAACTGAGCTCAAAGTTAAGGGTTTGGGTAAGCTTCTGTTAGAGGAAATACGGTAATTGTTTCGAAAATTATTTCTGATCAAAGATATAAGACCAACCAATTCCAGCCTCGAATTTCTACTCATTTGATTGTTTTAATTTTTCAGTCTAACCCTGCAAAGAGCCATCCTATCCACCCTTCGTACTCAATTATCGGCACTTTCATCTCTTCTTCGTTCTAGTCTTTTCCTTGGAGCAGTCGACCTTTTCGATTCTTTGGATAACATTCTTGATCGAATTTCTGTAGATTTGAGTTTGGAACAAACTGAAGATGTACTCCGTCAGACAACTGAACTCTTTGAAAAAGTCTCTTCTGCTGTCACAATTCCATATCTTTCTGATTCTTGGACAATGACAGAACAGGAAAAAGAGCCGAGAGAGAAGACGCCAGACGAGGAAATCGAGGAGACAATTCGACAAATTCGAAGGAATCACACATCAGAAGTTAACTCAATTAAGTCACAATGCGAACAAAGACTCGCTGTATTGAAAGAAAGAGCAGAAAGAGAAGAAGGAAGAAGGAAAAAGTTACAAGAGCAATTGGTAATGGCTACAACTAGAAGTGACGAATCAATCAGTTCTGTGAAGACTTCGTTCTCTCAAATGCTCGCCGAGCAACGAAAAACGTTTGATGAGGAGTTGGAAGTGGTTAAAAAGGAACATGAAGAGAGGCTGATGGAAGAGAAACATGCAACTAGATTGGCATTAGAAGCAGTTAGAAGAGCACATGAAGAAGAATTGAAGAATGTTGCAGAGAAGAATAAAAATGGAGAAGGAAGCAATATTGGAAGACAGAGGTTCGTTTATGAGATTACTGTAGAATTCCGTAATAGACGGCCACCCTATACTTACACTTTGAGCTCAATTATCTCAATTCCTGTAAGAAATATGAAAAATTTGTCAACTGATGAAATGTTTGCCATAATATCACCAATTTTTTATCTGTTTACATATTTTTGATATCTCTTATAGAAATTGAGATAATTCAGCTCAAATTGCAGGTACATGGTGGTCTTCTATTAGAGTGTTTACGGTTTTCTCTTTGGCCTTATCTCAAAGCTTGATTTTTTCCCGATTTTTCCCTATCACTTTCTTGTTTTTTTTCCAGTGAAATCTTCGATGAAATGAGAGAGGAATTAATAAATGTGTGTGCTCTCTACTCTGCGAAATGTCTGGAAAACTCCCAATTGGATGAGCAATTAGCCAATTTGATCAGTGAAAAGGAAGCCAGTGTGTAAGTTTTCGATACTTAACTGTGTTCTCAACTTCTTTTTTTTTCTTTTTCTAACTTGTTTTTTGCGCTTTTAATGCTTTTTTGCTTTTTTCAGAGAATTGTCGATTGAAAATGACAAACTTCGATCGGAAGTGGATAAAAAATCAAAAGAAATTCATGATTTACAACGAAAAATGAACAATTACGAGAAGCTGAGCCAGTCGAGAACAGGTAAATTAACAATTCGAATTTGTAGAATCATCTCACTTCAAGACAGAGTTTTATAATAATTTCAAATCACAATTACCCTTTTTAAAATTCACTGATTATTAAGTTGACACTTCTCAACACACAAAAAGTTCTCACACCAATATTCCAGGTTCATGTAGTAGCATTTCGATGCCACGGTGAGTAAAATGAGCAATGGGGGCGGGGCATTCTTTGCATTTCTTTTCTATTTTTTTCCCAGCATGACCTCATTATATAACTCAATTTTTCCTTTTCCTTTCGCTCAATTTACTTATTTGTTTTCTCTGATTTCCCCTTTCGGTTTTGATTGTTTCGTCGAGACCCCGCAAACTCCGGGGAAAAAAATCGGGGAAAAAAACCGGGGAAAGTGGGCGGAGTCGAGAAAAACCGTGCGGCAAAACCGTGCCAGGGTTGCAATTTAGGCTCCGCCCACTCATGACCGTGTCCAAATATGCAGAAAAACCGTGCGGCAAAACCGTGCCAGGGTTGCATTTTCGGCTCCGCCCCCGACTCCGCCCACTTTTTCCCCTATTTTTTCCCCGGTTTTTTTCCCCCGGAATTTGCGGGATCTCGTTTCGTCGCCGTTTTTTGGAAAATTCGCTCTGTCCAAAATTGCGGAAGAGCGCATTTGCATTGTTCTGTGACTGTGATAATAGCTAGAAAGATGTTTTCGGGTGGCTTCGATTCTCTTTGGAAAAACGCTATATTTCCCTTTTCTGAATGCTGTGAATGAAGATTTGAATAGCTGACCAACCAACCAATTAAATTTTTAAAACAAAATAAAAATCTGAAATTGAATAATTTTCAGACCCCGAAGTGTTAGCCGGTACGACAGTCTCGCGCGCTCGTCGAGAAAAACAGAAGAAAAGAAATCGTCGTCATGGTGAGTTGATGGATTACAGTACTTTTGAAAAAAAATCAGCAAGTCATTGTATTAACCAGATGCAAAAACCTTCAAAATTTCAGATGTTCGATTCCACAGTAACCCAATCGAAGTACCCCAACATCTCATAGAAGACGTTCGTCGTTCCCTTGACGTTCCAGTATCCGAACGTCGCAAATTCTTTGAACATATTGCAGAGTACAGTACTCCTTTCTAGACAGTCCGTTTTTTTAGTTTTACTTTTTTTAATAGTAATTTCCCCCTCCGATCAAATCGTGTCTCTTGTTGTAGTCACTCTTTTTCTTGAAATTTTTTTTTCTCCGGCTAACCATAATTTATCTGTGATAATTCGTGTATATTCTTTTTTTCTTATTTTTGTGTCCATTTTTGTGGTGCTCATATGAAAAGATCAAGTACAAGTTCAGTCATTTAGTACAGAATACAATCGCAATATAAACAGAAAAGATGAAAAAGAAAATCCTAAAACTGTTTCAAAATAAGACTAGCATTAGTGGCTCCAAATCCAAATGAGTTGCAAATTGAAATTTTGGGATGCCCATCCACCCATTTTGAATTGTTCCTGAGTAGATTCAGTCCTTCGTCTTCTTCACTCTCTTCTAAATTTCGATTTCCCGGCAAAACGTTGTCATTCATCGCGCAAATCGTCGCGATAGCTTCAACGGATCCAGCTGCTCCGAGAAGATGTCCGATGTGTCCTTTGATACTACTAACTGCTATATTTTGATTTGGAAACACTTTACGAACAGCTTCAGTTTCTACCGAGTCCCCGTTTGGTGTGGATGTAGCATGGGCGTTCACATATCTGGAATACAGTTGGCTGAATTCAAACATAGCCCCCACCCCAATTCAAGTATAGCCCCCCAAAATGAACC